ACCTTGTAATAGCTATACAAAGCTCAATAGTTTGGATAAATAATACTCCCTCCATCCCATTAGAAGGTTCCCACTTTCCTTTTTTGGACGTCCCGTTAGAAGGTTCCCATTTCCATTTTAGGAAACAATTAACAATCTTAAGTGACAAATTAATCATTAAATATTAAAAGTAATACATTTATAACATCACAGTTATCAATACTAACTACATTATAATACGGAGTATATACCTATTAAAATTATTTCTCAAAATATACTCGAAGTACTTTATTTAATTATTGCCTAAATAACCGTGCCGTTTTGCTATGGGAACCTTCCAACGGGACGGAGGGAGTATCACTTTTGGAGAATCAATTCATTGTGTAAAGGCCTCAAGGGTGAGCAGGGTTAAGTAATTATCCAGAAATTAGCTCCTTTTTCCAATTCCCACTTCCCTCTTCTGTCATCTTCTTTTATTCCTGGAATGACAGCTTGCGTGAGTTCTCTTAACAGTGTCCTAATGAATATAGCCCTTAACTAGTGAATATAGTACTTATGAATGACTTCCAAAATAGCAAAGGTGTTAGTATAATCATTGGCTTGTAACCTTTTCAAAATAGTTTTGAGACATCATGTAGCGCTGAGCCTGCATGGAACTGACCATGATTGAACTAGACCTGCTGGCCGCTCTCATTTATCATAGTTTGTGTTAAGAATGTTAGTTGGTTAGGGAACTTATTTCATAACGCTAAAATTGGTATAATTGTAACAAATTGGTGACTGAAAGAATTCCAAAAAAGAGCTCAGGATAGTGAACAACAGGACTATTGACTCTTACTGTAGAAATTTGAAGGTGTTATTTATATATTGAAAACCCCAGATTTAGTTAATTCAAAATAGGGATAATAAAAATTAGGGCAATCCAAACAAGAATCCTTTTTACCCTATGAGGTAGTTTGCACAATTATTAAAAAAATGGAGTCCGGATGATATGCTTTATCAATATAGAGAAACCACTGCTGAAGTGCTCAAATGCTTCATTCACTTGCTTAAGGAAAGCAGACATCATACTGAAATTTTCCACGCATTGCATCCTTCATTGTATATAGATGTTTGGGCAAGAAGCAGCTGCTCTACTAAACTATGTAGAATGCTTTCCTACCGGGATCAAGAAAGGAACCACTATGGCTTTGGAATGTGCGCTTGTTAAGATTGAAGGGTTCCCAATGTGGGTGATTAATGGACAGGTGATGATTCTTTTTTCGTCACACAATTCTTAAATACTAGCCTCTTCCATTTTATGCTTTTGTTATAAATTTCAAATTTGAAATTTCCCCTCAGATGTGTTGATCTCTCGTCAACAATTACTGCTCTTGTCTCTACTAATATCGGAAATGAAACCCTATCCGTTATTGTTGATGTGTACTCTAGCCCCAAATACTTATTTTTTGTTGGTAAAACGTAAAGGTGCCCCTAGGACTTTAACTTTGTTGCTATTTCTTTCCTTTTCCATTTCCTTTTTTTGGTAGCCAAGAAGTGAATGTTTTACGTATTCCCATTTCTTTCCAAAAACTGGAGTATGCAAAAAATGCTCACTCTTTTATACGTTAGTTTTTTCAATCTTCAGTTCGCTGGCTATTACATTTTCCTTCAAGTTTAAAATTCCAGACATGCTTGTTTCACAAATGCAACTTTTTGGTGCAGGTTCTAAATGGAGAGCAGAAACTCTCTGAACTTGCTAAAGCATCAGGATTCCAATTTGATGAATCAAGTTGAGCTAGCTGCCCTTTATTAATGGAACTAAACCTTGACATTAGCTCTGTAGTTTTTAGTTACTGTGAATTTTTCAAAATGTTCTCCAAATAAATTGGTAAGCATCTTTCAATTCCTAATCTATTTGTCATTAGACAGAGCAAGGGCCAGGCACTTGAAAGTCTTCATAGTGTTTTGGTACTGAATAGTTTCCAAGTAAATTCTTTGCTAAATAAACAATAAATCTATCTGAAATCACGAACTTAGTTATTCATCCCCAGCTAAAGCAGCCACTTTTGTACAAAATAATTAGAATGATTTGAGTTCTAAAAATCGCGTCTTTGGTAATACTAATACTGGTGACATATTTTTCTCTGTAAAGTATATAGCAATAAAAATGTCTGTTGAGGAACAATCTTTTCCATGTGTTGCTATATGCCTATGTGTACAAGTGTACTACTAATGCATTCTTACAATGAAGTTAATCTGGAGTAAAGGGATTGGGAGGGGTCAATCCTTCTGGCGGGAAAGCATTTTTGTGTATTAAATTGAATTAATTAATTTATTGATTTCTAGATTTAAAATTTTTCCCTTTCAACTTTTGCAATTACTTGAAAACTGTTCGTTCTAATCAATCTAAAGCCACTAAACTTTTCCTTAAAATAACCCAAAATGAATTCTTTTTAGTTCATTCACATCAAGTTCATCAAAATGAAACACATCTAGCTATCCGGTACCCTTCAAAATGTAAATGACCAATTTGCATTAAACGTATATTAGCATATTTTAATTAATCAAACTAATGAAAATTAGTAAGTCAAAACTAAAATGAATTCCATTAATTAATATCAAGGAGAAAATAATAACAATACCAATAATAATAATAATAATTTCATGAGAAATAATTTTCAATATACTGAATAACTAGTGGAACTAATTAATTTCAAATAAAATGAAAAAAATGAAAGATTGTCTAAGGGAATGAAGCCAAAGATTCATTTTTTTGGCTTGAGATTATGATGGATCATAAAGCAAAATGGCTCACTAAACTGTCTGCGCTTCTTGGTTATGGAGCAGCAGTCAATCCATGCAATTTTGGACGCGATTTTCACTATGGGTCATCCGGAAACAGTCTCTCTGTGCTTTAGTACAGGGGTAAGATTGCGTACATCCGACCCCCCCTTTGCGGCACTGGGGTAAATGAAAATGAAATGATGATTGTCTAAGGGAATGAAGTGATTCAAACACATGACTTAGTTGCAAGCGGCCTCTCTTTCTCTTGCATATCATTGTCGACAAACATTGATATTAGCTAAAATCAAACCGATTCTAAATGACATGTATGCGTCTATGGCTGCATATTTAATTTGTTCAAAGCTTAGATCATCAGATTCCCAATTGCTCAGAAGTATGTCGTACGGCTTATCCATCTTTAATCCAAGAACTTTTATCGCCAACGTTTTCAATCCAATGCACAATAACTCTTTTGACCGGTAAATACATGCCGCCAGAAATTGTAACTCAAGAACATTTCCCACAACCAACCCGTGATCGTGGAGGAGTTGTTGTTATGCGTGCTCTTGGACCCCTATGGCGACAAATGTGACAAGTGGATTGGTGAGGAAGGCGGTCAAGGAATGTGGAAAGCGATCCGTGTGAAGAAGCTGAAAAATAAGGCACTTCTTCCCAATACAAATTTGGAGTGTTGCAGTGAGATTGTTGTTCCGTGGCCAATAATTTCAAATATCCATGCGTCGATTTGAGACATGACTTTGGTGACGATGACTTGGAGATTGATATTGTGAAAATCAACCGAGTGTAGTGTTGCCATTATTTTAAGTTTGAAAATCGAGGGAACGACATACAAACAAAAGGTATAACAACAGGGTGAATGAGTAATGAAGGGTGTATGGTTGTATTGTGAATGAAGGAATAATATTTATAGATTCAGAATAAAAATCCCAAGTCTAGTGGTATTCGAACTTGAGAGTAAGTTGAATAAATAAGGATTGAATTGTAAAAGGATTGAAGTTAATTGGGAAGTCAACCGACTCAAAACCTCTTCCACCGATTACCATAAAAAATTGCCCCTACATACATGCAGTAAAGACCAATAACCAAATCATGCATCCAATTACAATACATGTCAAATAAGGTCGTACATTTATCCAATAATCATTCAACTTGCTTGCATAAGTATTTTATTATGTATTTAACATATACTACGTAGTATTTCTAAAAAATATGTACTACGTAATACACAGTACGTGATGGAGTATATGGCCCAGGAACCCCCCCGGCTCACATACTTCTACTACTACAAACAAGCCCAACTAGCCCAGGCAGTGGAGGACCTAAGGGGGGGCTAGGTGGGGCATGTGCCCCCGCTTCGAGCTCGGAATTTCACTAGTAGTACTTAGGATAAAAACGAGTACCCCGCCTTCATACCAGTATTTGATAATTAAGATACTAAAATGTTACGGTTATATAAAAATAAGGAATTTTATCAATTCACGACCTGAAAGATAGATTAATTATCAATTCAGGACCCGGAAGATGAAACGTATCGGTATAGGACCCGAATGATGAAAAACTATCAATTTAGGACCTAACATTGCATAGGTTTTGATTTGTTTAATTTTGTATTAATTCCATTACTAGTTTTTGATAAATTTTTCTTCACAAAAGTTTATTAGTTTAATAAAACTTAATAATATTTAAAATTTTTAAAATTAAAAATAATAAAATTGATGACAACTTAGGTCCTAGATTGATAGTTTTTAATCATTCAGGTCCTAAATTGATATTTTTTCATCATTCGTGTCCTATATCGATGCATTTCATCTTTCAAGTTCCAGATTGATAATTCACCTATCTTTCGTGTCCTGAATTGATAAAATTCTTTAAAATAAAAGATATAGAATTATCAAAAAACAAAAAATAATTAAGAATTGAAAACAAAAAGTAACAAAAAAAGTTTAAATGCAAAAAAGTAGCCAATGTGCGGGCAACTAAAAGTACGGAGTATTAAAAGTCTAAAAACTCACTAACATTTGGAAGACTAGAATGATAAAACATAAGTTCTCCAATTTCTATGAGTCAATGCTACTGAACCGTGCAGAGTTATATTTATGCAATTTTTCATTTGTTGATCGAATGGAGCTGAAAGAGCAACTCCAGGTGTGGATATATGAAATGAGAACAAATGAGTTATTTTCTGTCGTACAAAAACTATTGGTGAAGTTTTGAATTGTAAGAAGATGATTGAGCTTAAAGTTCACAATTCTTTTCACGTGATATATTGTCTGATTGAGTTGAATTTTATGTTACCAATTGCAACGGCCACCGTTGAAAGAGCCTTCTCTGTGATGAATAGATAGCGCAAAATGCGTTTAAGAGCATTAAACTGAGGCTATCGAGGATCATGCATAAAGAGGCAGACTTGTTGCACTGCATAAGAGATATAAGGACGAGTGAAAGTCAAATATTGGAGAGCCCCTGTGAGTTGGCGATACAGAGTGGGATCCACTGGAGGAGTATCAAGAGATGCACTAAGTTTTGCAGAAGTTTCAACAGGAGTAGCTACTGGCTTACAATTTGTCATAGAAGCTCGTGCAAGGATTGCTTGTGCATGAAGAGATTGAGACAAGAATAATTCGGATGAAGATCGTGTGACAGCCAATCCAAGAAAGTGATGCAGCGGGCCAAGACCAGTCATAGAGAATTCCTGCTTCATTGCCGTAATAAATCGCCGAAGGAGAGCATCTGATGAAGCTGTAAGTAAAATATCATCCACATAGAGCAATAAATAGGCAATGTCAGATCCAGAGTGATAAACAAACAGTGAAGAATCACATGTGCTGCCTTTAAAGCCACAATGAGTTATAAATGTGGCAAATCTGTGAAACCATGCCCGAGGTGTTTGCTTGAGCCCATAAAGTGATTTACGAAGATAGAAAACATGATTTGGGCAAGCCGGATCAATAAAACAAGGTGGCTGATGCATATAAACAGTCTCAGATAAATCGCCACGGAGGAAGGCATTCTTGACATCCAGTTGATGAATAGGCCAAGAGCGGGATGTAGCAATAGTGAGCACAATGCGAATAGTGGCAGGCTTGACTACGGGACTAAATGTATCAAAACAATCAATACCAACCTGCTGAGACTTACCATTAGCCACAAGTCGAGCCTTGTAACGCTCTAGAGATCCATCAGAGTGAAACTTGTGTCGAAAGAGGCACATAGAGCGAATAACATGAGCACCTGATGGGCGCGAAACCAAGTCCCAAGTGCGTGTTTTTAATAAAGCATTATACCCGTCTTTCATGGCAGCATTCAAGTTAGAATCCTATAGGGCATATAGGTGGGAGCGGGGAAGAGGAGAGATAGAAGAGGGGGTCTGAACATGGAGGTCAAACACGGGTTTTGGTTTGAAGATACCGTGGGAAGCTCGGGTAGCCATGTGGTGAGTGGGATGAGGATGGGTGTAGGTGGGTGGCGATGGTGATGTAGGAGGAGATGGTGGTGACGGGGAGGCTGGTGGGGGGCTGGTATGGATTGCTTGGGGGTGTGGGAGTGATGGGGTATTTTGGAGACGATGATGGGGGAATATATGGTGAGGAAGGGGGTGGTGTGCTGGAAGGTGATGATGTGGAGGGTGAAGGGTAGCTTAGGTTATCGAGTAGAAGTGGGTGGGGAGATAGGAAGTCATATGATGGAGGGCGGAAAGGAGGAAGATCTGCAAAAAGAAACACTGACTCATCGAAGGTCACAGTCAACGGTGGCGGCTTCCAAGCTATGACGGCTCTAGGCAATGGTGGCGGATTGCAAGTGGTGATGCTTTAGGTCCGGCCGAACACCCCCTTCCACCCGTATCTCTTTTGGTTGTCCGATGCACAGTCTTGAATCGGACGACTCTGTTATACTCGACGTCACACCTAGGACATAGCACAGAGGCAGCCTCCCAGGTTGGTAGTGTGCAATTTGTCGGCAGATCTGTAATTGAGTGACGTTAGTGGCTTTGCCTCTATGGTTGTTGTTGGTTTGTTTCTTTCCTGAATTCCTGAGACAAGATTTCTTTTGTTTACAGGGTATGTTCATGACTTTGGAGGCATATCAAGCTTTGATTGTGTCTGTGCAAAGTTCTCCCACGAGTCTGACAAGGTGAAGGACGCTGAGACAGGCAACGAGACACTTGCATAGTTCCATGCCTCTGCTAGGTTTTCTCACTTGCTTGAAGAATATCATGGTGAGAAAGATATGGCTCCATTAAACTTGGCGACCACCCAATGGGATGAGAACAACCATGGACGGGATGGCAGTGGAGTCCGGATTCCAAGCATGAGAACAACCTTTTTCTATATTTTGCTTTCTTTTCTTTTCTCTTTCCTGGACTTCCTGCATGCATGCATGCGTCTTACCTTAGGCAGCCAGGCAGCCAGGCGGCTTGGTGCCCCCGGGTCGGATGGCATCGTCACCTCCATGGAAGCCGGCGGCCAGGCAGCCAAGAGGTTGGGAGGCCAGGCGTCCGGGCGGTCAGGCGGTCAGGCGGCCAGGCTGAAGTCTCTATTCCCCGGGGTTCCGCGTTGTCCGGCGGTCGCCCTGGTGCTCTTCTTCCTTTGGGTAGCAGGGTTGTTTCCGCCATCCTCTTTTTTTTCTAGTTTGGCAGTAACGGAGACCACACAAGCGCAGGGGTCAAGCGCCACTGTCCTCCTAGTTTGCTGTTGGCCATTTGCGGCGCGGTGCTTCAAGCCGGCGACCAGGATTGAATGGCTGTAGGCCCTTTCCGGGCGAACGACCGTCAATGTCGCACCCTCGCAACCTTCGCACCGCCGTCGCCTGGGTTGACCTTCTATCAGGCTGGCGGTCAGAAGGTGATGGCTTCAGGTGATGTCGGCGGCATCCGGGTGGATGTGGTTTCCAGGGCGACGACGCTTGGGCAGACGACATCCGAGATTGGCAATGTCACTTCCAGGCCAGCAGCCACCCAGGTCAGAGTGCTGCTCCTCGGCGATGAAAAGTAGGTGGGCGATCCAAACTCTCTGGACGACACCTTCATCACCGCACGGCTGAAGTTGTTGAGACCTTTGAGGTTGATATCGAGTGCAACTGCATGTATCCTTCGCCCCCACAAGAAAGAGGTCAATTTAGGCCGGTTGGGACCTTTGGAAAAGCATATGTGCAGCCGACATGTGTGGGCAGCATGCTGGTGCTCCCCGAATTATCACTGTTTTTAGAGCCACATAGCTCCTTATCTTTTTACTTGATTCTGATAGCCTTTTTAACCTATTTGCAGGATTCCATGCCCCACAGAGGTCCCCAAACGCGTGAAGAATCATGAGGACGAGAGAGCCCCACAGCAGGGAGCCTACCTTCCAGTTTGAACTTCGAAACATGTAAGGCAACAGGCGCCCCTATCGTGCAAATGGCATTCAAGGCTTTCCCTCAAGAGTGCTCCGCAATGCAAGTTGACTGCGACATAGTACTTGGGCGTCGGTCGCAAGTTGACGGCAGCGGAGTACCTGGGCGACGGCCAAGAGTAGACCGTCCATGTCAATGACTGAGTTGACTTTCGGATTCCGGGAGAGTTCCATAGGCTTCCTAGCAACCCCCTTGACTAGATCGTTGTATTTGATGGCGATGGGTTCGCACGACCATGACCCTATACATTTTTGTTTCTCGCTTGTAGCATAAAGTTGACTGATGTGACATCTGACTGAAGTAATTTTGAATTCATATGTTTCTTTTTCTATACTTTGCATTACAAATACATGGCAATTTGTTCGGGGATCCGGCTTCTTTAACCTCCCAGGGGGCGGTTAGGATGGCGTGGCCGAGCCTATCTGTGCCCTTCCTGATCGGATAGAAGTGATATGTTCGATGTTGATATGGAATCAACAAATATGCGACTTGTTTGGCCAGCAAGGTCGGACATTGAACCTACGAGGAGGACCCTTAGGTCGACATCCTGAACGTTCATGACCCGGGGGTCAGTCCTACTGTCGCTTTAACCCGTCCAGTTTGCCCGGACTTGGGGAATAATCTGGTTACTCCTGCAGGGATAGCCAAACAACAGGGGCGAACCCTGCACGATCCACTAGAATGGACCCGCATCGCCAACTCGGGGATAGCGAGAGTGCGAGCTGCTTAGCCAGCGATGTTAGGCATCGAGCACTCGAAAGGACCTGGAGGTCAGCATCCTGAGCACCCTCGACCCGGAGGTCAGCCCTACCATCACTTCGACTGTCACATCTAGCTCTTTACTTTAGAAAATTGCTCGGCTATTTTCAGTTCAAGAGCCTGGCCGAGGTCGGCCAAACACCGAGGGGGGCATAGTACCTTTTTTTTTCTTTTTTTTGCTCTTTTTTTTGCCGCCGCCCTTCTTTGCTAAGTGAGGCCGGACCTTTTTTGAAGACAAAATTTCGTATGCAAAGTAGTAGAATTTTCATAATGTGAGCGAAACACGTTGAAATCGTAATCCCATGATTTGGAACTTATCGGGGTCCGATCATGAAGGGACCTTTCCCTTTGATGGGGAGCTTTCCTCTTGATCTTCCAAGGCGGTTTCAGCACGGAGCTGACCCTTCTCACGCTTTAACACCTTGTCGTTGATCACGTGGACCCTCAAGTCCTTCTGACCGATTTGCTTGCAAGCTTTCAGATGGCAGCTCCTCGCCATCCGCTGGTCTTCCCTGGCAACTCCGACGCCGTTCGGAGTGGGGAACTTCATGCATAGGTGCTCCTGGGATATCATACACCTCAGGTCTTCCAGGGTTGGTCTCCCCATGATGATCTTATGCGCACAAGTTACGCGTACGAAGATAAATTTGACGTCTAACTTGGATACGCAGGGCTCAGAGCCCACCATCACGAGGAGGACTATGGTGCTCTCCGACTCAATGGAGTCCCCGGTGAAGCCTGAGAGTGGGATTCTTACCGGGATAAAGTTCTTCCGGTCCAGGACGAGACCCCCGAAGGTGTCATAGTACATGATGTTAACGAAGCTCCCATTATCCACTAGGACTCGGTGGACGAAGTTGTTGTTGATTTTGACGATCTTGATCACAAAGGCATCCATGTGCGGCGGAGGCATCGGTGGCAAATCTGCGTTGGTGAAGCAGATGAGATCCCTCTTCACCTTCTTGTCGATGTGAGCCTTGGTTATTTCCCCAACATATAGGGCTTGGGCCCATTGCTTCCGCTCTCCTGAGGTGTCGCCTCTCTGGGGGGGGGGGGGGGGGGGCAAAGATGGATGAACATCAATGGTGTTTCTGGGAGCCGTCCCCCAAGTCGGCCTCATCGTCTTCACATAGGGCGCCGAGTTCCCACTTCTTGGTGGGCTCTTTCTCCCTCGACGTGGTAGCTTGGTCGGACCGCTGCCACGTTAGACTCTTCTTCTGTTGGGTGTTCCCTTGCTTGTCAATGAACTGGCCTATGTACCCCTTCTGGATGAGGTCTTCGATTTGTCGTTGGAGAATAACACATTCATCTGTATCATGGCCTGTCCTCCGGTGGAATCGACAATACTGGCCATGGTTACGCTTGACGGTCACCACATCACACTCCTCCGGAAAGGCAACCAAACCTTGCTCCTCCATGTAGTCAAGGATGGCCCCGACCGGCTGAGAAAGTGAAGTTAATTGCTTGACGGGTAGGAGCGGTCCGCTCGGGACGTCCGCCTTGCCCTTGCCTTTGCTCTTGTTACCCTTGTACTTGTTGTTTTTGCTGTCGGCCTTGCCGTCAGCTTTCTCGGTGCTCAAACTAGCTTCCTTCTTCTTCTCTTCCTTTACGCCTTCTTCCTCATCTCTCTTCATCCGCACGGCGTCCTCCACCTCAGCTTGGCGGTCGGCACGGCCGAGCGCTTCCTCATACGAGGTGGGGGGACTTCTGA